CCCACCTCTCTTTCCTATCCTGTCCCTCCCGTACAGCCTGTAGCCCGTGACATTCACCGCATGGATAGAAATTCCACTGCCTCAGTTCACCGCAAACTGAGCCTCACATGCAGTCTGGGCTAAGTTAAGATATCCTAACAAAACTCTTGCTGTTCAACAAAACCATGCAAGATAAAACCATGCAAGATTCCTGTAGCTATTATAGGAAGCTTTCAACCTATAGCTCCCCATTTGTTTTGCAAGGATGGGCAAGGACCTTTCTTCTCAAGGGTGACACTGAGGCTACTGGTTGCTGTATTTCCACAGCTGTTAGGTTTTGCACCCTTGTGAAAATACAGATTAAAATAAATAACTTGCATGTACACTAGGCAGTAGAGAAAATGATCCCAGGGTTCCTGCCTCTTGTTCCCATGCTCTATTCATAGAAACGCATTGCCTCATGCCCCTGTTGACTTCTTATGAACCTCCAATACCTTGGTATAATCTAGGGTCAGCCAGGGTCAGGGAAAAGGCACCCTGAAATAGCAAACAGCAGCACAGGAAGATACTTCAGCCCATTCTCACTGTGGGAGAAATATGGCTGGTCACAGAGGCAATTCCTGGGCAGTAGCCAACTATCCAGGATCTAAGGTGGCAAGAGGAAGCAGTGCAATAACAAGGCCCAGAGAGAATCCAAATGCATTTGTAAGCCCAGCAGACAGCAAATGAACACATTAGATTGCACCTTTAGTCAGCAATGGGGTTGGAAATAGTAGGTGACAGTTCCTAGCAATTAGAAGCTCCCTGAGGCAGAGCCCAGCATTCAGCATTAAGAACATTTGTTAATGAAGATCTTACCGTATCTTGTGTTGAACAAAATTTCAACTTGTTTCCTCAAATGACTTAAGACATCCCCTATTCCATCTGGAAAACAAGAGAAACAGACCAAGAAATAAACCGTGCTAGCCCAGAGACATATAAAAAAAGCTGTCCAGCTGCCCCAACTCTCAACTGACCAGAAGTAGTGGTTTTTTGACCTCCCCTGGCTAATCAATTCAATATTCCCAGGTTATTCTGAAGCACGTACTGATAAGGAAGTGAACAGACATTCACTTTTCAATTCCAGAAATGCAGTCACATGCCTGCAATGACCCAGGTTAGATGCCGGGGGGTGCTAGAGAACACCCTCCTGCTCAGGTGGAGCAGACAATTGGGCCAAGACTAGCTTGCCCACCTTGAGAAAGGGGGTCTGCAGGGGAGATGCAAAGCATCTTGGGATGCTGGGGGACTGTTAGTTAACTTGAAACTGGAGGGGATCTAGGACAGAAATTCAATAAACCGACTGAATCTAAATCAGCAAAGTCTAACACTACGTCCATCCAGGTTTATCTGAAACTGGTTTCAGCCATTTTGAAAGCAGTTTATTTGCACTGAAATTCTGTTGTGTTACACATCTGAACCGTTTCTGATCCCTTACACTGGTTTTTGTGTCATTTCTGTCCCTTGCCCCTCTCTGTGCTCTTAAAGTCTGTCCCATTCATTACAACTGCCACCACCCTCATCCCCATTAGGGAGCGGGTAGTTGCACCATCCCAGACTACAGGCGGTGCCTCACAATGAATGAGTCGTCACAGGGCTCTTGAGAGCACCAAAGCTGGCACCAGCTTCCAGAAAAAAATGCCTTTCAGCCACCTTCAGCTCTGTAGCCACATCTGAGACTCCTGACAAGACACCATGATGACAGCCAGGCTTGTGCTGTGTTTTTCAGGGGCAAAGAGCTATGCTGGATCACAGTACAGATGGGCTGATATAAATGGAAGCACAAAGGGCTAGGAAGGAGTCCTTAATTACACTGTTCCACATCTCTATCATTCTTGACGGCTATTTGATTTGCTTGCCATCCTCTGCTTTATACATCTCTGTCAATGGATATAGATAGAGTAGTATCCTTGTATCCTTTCATCTCCCTATTAAATTCTATGACAGAGACAGAACAAACAGGTCCAGCGTCTTATGTGCACAGTCCCTCTATTTTCATAAATGACCTGCTGTTTTAGGATGACTTATCTGCTGTATTGTACGCTGCCAGTCAGTTTTTTTTTTGTTTTTTTTTTTAAGGACTGGGATTTCTTGCCTTTATTATTGGCTCAGCACTGCAGTGTTAGTTAGGCTGAGCTCTTACTAGCTAATAACAGCAGAAGGAAAACTATTATAAGACTGGATGCAAGTGTTGGTAATTGCTTAAGAATTTCTCAGCTATGCAGAAACAGGTCAAAGGAATTTAAAATTCAGACACAAGTCAATGTATTTAAAATTCAGACACAAGTCAAAGTCCTGGGCTTTTTACTCTCAGAGTTGCACACAAAAACAGGTTTTGAAATAATCAGGATAGCCATACTGAAGACAGCTGGGAAGGGACAGCAGGATCAAACTGAGCCTGCACCCGAACATTTTACAATGGAAAGGGGCAAGGCAGAGAGTGGTAGGCAAAGCAGGCCCAGAACGATGAAGTGACACGCTTAATGTCACAGTTCCGGTCAGGGTCGGAGCCAGGTCTCTGGGCTCAGACTCCAGTGCCCTGCACCATGCTACCTCCTCACCTAGTACACAGACTAGAAGACGTGGATGAAGAACTGTCCGAGTGACTCAAGTCCTTCAGAATTAAAGTTAACCTCTGCCACAGGCTGCATGTGACCTGAATCAGAGTTCAGTGTTATTGCATTGATCTATAATCTCTGCCTTTTAAACTCTCTGGCCCATCACATCACGTGACTCATTTTCAAAGCTGGAAGACTTTACTCTTTGCCCCACTTTGAGATGAAAAGGCCGACGAGAGCCTGAAGCAACGCTGAGAGGGTTTGTTCCAAGTCCTAACCAGCTGTTTACATGTTTGGTGTCTCAGTCTCTCTCTAGCACAGCCGCACTCGGGAATGCACTCCAGCCCTTTGCAGCTAACCTCAGAGCGAATGCATGGCCAAAAAGGACAGCTGATGGGAATGGCCAGCATTGCTCTAAGCTTCTGCTAATTTAGAGCTTGGCTCTATATCATTTAAGTCAGTGGGAACTTTGCTGTTGACCCCGCTGGGCACAGGATCAGTAAAACATCCTAATGCAGACTAGCAAGAGTAAATGACATCATGAAAGGACATCGTTGCAACTTAAACCTATAAAAATACTAGGCCACAATTCTACATCTGGCACCAGGACTGCCTTAAGTAAACTCATGAGTGTAAACGCTCAGCTGGTGCAAATGGGCCAGGCTCCACGATGCCAATGGAGAGACACCAACTGGGGCTCTGAACATGGTGCATTAGAAGCCACTTGCCTTTCAGAGAATGTAGACCATCCCTTGAAGGCAGTTTAAAAATAGAGCCATGCCAACTACACTTTAAACAAGCCCAAGATCACCAAAGGGTATTTCAGCTGAGATTTATTACAAACTCCCCCTTACCTTCCATCTGCTTGTCTTCATGTCGTAGATCCTCAGTGGTCCCCTTATCTGTACCTGGGGGAGGGAAGCAAAGGTTTAACAGCTACTCCTGAATACTGGGGCAGTGAGCCTGCCAGACACATCATGAAGCAGGCATGAGAATTTGTTTGAGGATGGAGAGAGTGATGAAGATACACCCCCGACGTGCTAGTTTGCTAGGAGGGCTATATTTTTCCTGCATTGGGAAAAAAAAAAAAAGACAGGGCAGTATATAACCAGCCTTTCCGAGACAACAGAACAGCACCATAAAGAAAGTTTTGAGGACTGCGCTTGCCTGTTGAAGGCAACATAATACAAAACTAAGCAACACAAGACAAGCCGCACGACCCCTCTATGTGACAAACAGAACAGAACCCAAAGACGAAGGTACTGTAGCTTGCTATACGCAGGTACAGCACCTAGCACAATGGGACCCTGACTCTGGACGGGGCCCAAAGACACTAACCTAATACAAATAACAACAACATTTCTCTGTGTCTTAGGCAAAGTATGAACAGCTGGACAAGCTTTGCATCTGGATTCTCAAACTGCTTTCTGTTGTTCAGACACAAAAGCTCCAAAGTGAAAGGATAAACCTTTGGGTCAAGGGTTTTATTCACACTCCTAAATAAGATGACCTAATTTCAATGTTTCTCATCCAACAGAAGCTCTGACTGAGCTTTCAGAACGATTATTGAGGTGTGCCATTATGGAACTAGGACCCTCACTTTAGGCTCCTATTATTGGAAATGTTGGCCTGAAATGTGTAGTCCCTTCTTTTTTTTTTTTAGGTTCACATGATTTACAACTCTTTTAGTGACATCCGTTTCATTACCTGTTACTGCTTCTAGCATGTAGTTGGAATCACTTGAAGTCAGGTGGCTGGTCACGGGCTCATGGATTTCATCGGAACTGGGCGACCGGTCTGCGAACAAAGAACCAAAGATAATTTGGATGACCCGGTCCCTGCCCCTGGAAGCACACTGCAGAGTTTTATGGCCCATTACCAAGAATGTACCTATGTTCATGAACCTCAATGTGTGACTGTGGTAGGGGGCACAATTACTTAGTCATAAAGGCATGCAGGAGCAGAAGCAGACAAATCTACCACCTTTTTCCTATATTTTAACACTTGTAAGAGGACGTTGGAAACATTCCTCTACGACACCCCCCAACCTCTCCAAAGTGGGGAAAAGCAGCAGCATCTGCAAAAGTTTCCTCTTAAGCCCCATGGAGAGTGAAGAGCTGAAGTGGGTCGTGATGACTTAATTGGTTTAATTCCACCCTGACATCCAATTCTGGCTTAAAAAGTTAATGCTACTTGATCCCCCCACCTCCTTCACAGGAAGGTCATTCCACCAATCCACTGCTTCACTCCAGACAATAGCGCTCCTTAAATTCTTCTCACATATACCCTCTTACTATAAACCTGTATACTTTAGTGTTGGACTCTCCCATGCCCTTGGAAAATTATCCAAATTTCGTTTTAAAATTAACCTCTAGCTAGTTTAACTACCTCGGTCAGGTCACTTTTTAATCAGCTTCTCACATGATAAATAATCCAAATTTCATCCATTTCTCCCTGTATAGGAACACCACCTTGCCATTAATTATCTTTGCTGCCTTAAGTGGTACTCCATCTAATTTAACTACATCTGCCTTCAAATAAAGTAATAGAAGCTGGACCCTGGATTCCAAATGTGATTTAACCAGGCCCAATAAAGTGATACCAAAATTTCCTTAGATTTATATAACAGACGCACCTTAATACCAGTTGGTATTGCATATCCCAGCAGTCTTTCCTGCCCAAGTATAGAGGGGGCTGGACCTGATGATCTGTAAGGTCCCTTCCGGCCCCTAACAACTATGAAACTTCTTTCCCATCACAGCCCAACCTGAAAATTAAAATGTTTCATCTACTAAAACACCTAGAACCTTTTCCTTTCCCTGCATTAAATACGAGTCAAAATCTGCTTTCATTAATATTCTGTAATTCCAGACTGACCTTTATAACTTTCCTGGAGTTGCACTAACATTAACACTGGTCGAACTGAGAGCAGAATTTGCCTGCAATTCAGAACCATTCAAACTACAGCAAACTTGGACATTACATCTTCTCTGAGAGCATCATTTCCCACTTAGGTGCATTCAAAGTAATGCTCCTGCTCTAATTCTATCAAGATTATTAATTAGTTAATGACTGTAAAACACACTGAAAATGCAAAGTGCTAATTAATTACCCATTAACTCCTCAAGATGTTTCTACTGTTTGATGCACACCCTAGTTCAGGTAACAGCCCTATAAACACCAGCCCAAGGCATACTCTTCCTCTGGAAAGCTCCTAATTTCTCACTCTCGAGGAACGAAAGCTTTCAATGCTACTGTCCCCGTTCTGGTGCATAGCCCCTGGTTTTTCAATCTCAGCCACATTTCAGGAAAGCAACTGGGCAAATGCTTAGGTCCCATAGGACTGGAAACGTTCCAACTCGCCACAGCAGGCAAACAACAAACTACAGGATTTTTTCAGTCACGCCTACAATCTCTACGCTGGCCGTCAGCTCAACTTCTTCTGGGGTGATCCTCTCCCCAAAGGTCAGATGCCAGCGACTGCATTCGAGATCCAATCCAATCCCTTCATTCAGCCCCACCATCACTGTCAACCTCTAAAACCACCCATTTACCATACTGGACAACATGCAAGGCAGCTTGTATTTCCTGTATATCTCATTCTCCTGACCCAGGGAGCTCATTCATAACCTAACACTGTAGCTGAATCAATCTACAGTCACCCCCCCGCCGAGCTGACGGAGCTAAAACTACAGTGGCCTAACCAAGGATAAATCCAGCCCCTGTTACATGTAGTACTACATATTGCATTTTTATGCACACACAACTTCACCACTGCTCACTGGAAGCTTAGGTGCCTCAGAACCAGTTGCTTGGAGATACTGTTCATCGATATGTGCAATAACAAGTCATAGGCAGATGGAGGATGGAAAAAAAGTTACTAGGGCATATCAGCTAATGAGAGTCAGAAGTGGTGCTGTAACACCAGCCCACGATCCAATTATACCCTTAGGAGATGAGACACAGTCCGACAAATGTGAAAGCCACAATTTACAGAGATTTGCTTAGAACAGCATTTTCTTCTGATTTCTGCATCGCTGCCATGCACGTTCATCTCCAAAATGAATTCACAGATTCAACTTGGAGCCAACTCATTTAAAACCCCCCTGCTGAACTCATCAGGATATCCTCCCCCCACCAGGCTGCTATCCTGGTTTTGATTGCTCCTTGGGAAGCTGAGAAGGCCTTAGCCCTTTATTCTGGAATTAGAGCACACAATGATGGCAGGAGATTGGGATCCTGCTCTCAGCTTTGCCACAGATTTGCTACATGCGCTACACTGAGTCACTTACTCTCCCTGTAGATCTATAACCAGGGATATTGAGGCATGGATAGATAAATAATTATACTGTGTTAAGGGAGGGAGGAAAGGATTCCCCACAGCTCAGTTGGTCTGTCTGCTGCTACCCTAGCCTAGGGTAAGTGGAAGTTAAAGCAGGGTAGTTTACTTCGGACTGAAACAGGGTAAAGTTACCGCAGTTTAGTTTTGCTTGCTGCAGGACAGACACAAACAGACAAATCAGTTGTAATGGATAAGCTGTTTTGCATTCATTACCACCACTTTCGAGAAGTACCATTTTTTGTCTATCCATGCCCTGATAGTCCCTGGGCCTTGGGAAGAGGGGACAGGCAAAGGGATGGAGGAAGACGACACCCGCCTATCCCAGTTCTTCTTGATTATCACTGCAAAAGCAACAGTAGCATCATCTCCAGAACAAGCTGCTCTGCAATGCACGTGGCCAGGGCTGGGTCAAGGGATGCATAAAACAGGACTAAAACCAAAAGCTGCCCTTGGCGGGGGGGAAAAAAAAAATACCTGGAAACATCCTATGCTATCGCAACAACTTGCCCGAGAGACCAACTGACTGCTGGGGGATTTTCAATACGGGACAAAATGAGGCTGAGGGGATTACCCACCCATGCCACTTCCCCAAAGCAAAATCCTCACACCGTACAACACAAGGTGGATGCTCTCTGCCTTGATGTTACTCAGCTTTTCAGACCTGCCCACTGTTTACCTGGCACGGTGATCTGAATGATGTCCAGCTCATCTGGCTCTATTTTGATTTGTCGGATCCCACTCAGTTCTCCTGAGGTACCTAATGGAAAAAAGATCCTCAGAAGCGCAAAACCAAGGTGCGCGTCCAGAAAGCCCTCACTGCCTGCCTGTCCGATCCCAAGCAACAACTATTTACAAAGAATAATACGTGGCTTTTCACCCGTAGACCTCACAGCGCTTCACAAAGGTAAGTAGCCAACATTAACCACACTAACTGCATTGTGCAGACAGAAGGACAGAGAAAGGCTGAGCTCTCATCTGTACGAGCAAGCTGAACTTTTAAAACCTTTTTAAAGTTTCTAAACTGACTCAAGCTCGTGCTACTCCTGCCCCCGCCCCCAACTTTCTCCTGCTCCGTCTCCTCCCACACAGACGCTCCTGTTTCATATTAACGCTGGTTGTTTCAGTGGATTCAGGATCAATTCAAGCCAAAGAGAATTACACTTATTTTATACCAGAATAAGAGCATTCTCCAGCCTTTTGTACGTAATTTGGTTTAAAATGACCCCTTAAAATAAACCAGTGCAATTTTCTTGGAGAAGGCCATATTCAGCAGCACATTTAAGCACATGCTTAAGTCCCATTATCTTCAATTACCTTAAGTGTTTTGCTGAGTAAGGGCCCAGCCAAAGCCCTACAAAACAAGTGTTTCCATCCCCTCATCTATAAAATGGGGATAATAATCCTGACCTATCTGCCTTTCCAAAGTGTTACGACAACTAATTAATGTCAGTGAAGGGCTACAGGGATATGTTTATGGGATGTTCTCTATAAATGGCCCTGGACTGTAATTCACTTTTGCTGCTAGCACAATAGAGCCCCCAGACCTTCAGGAGACAGAATAGAGGCTTGTCTATTTTCTCAGGCTTTTGCCAGCAATCATTTTGCTTTATACTGCAGGTAGGAGTTCTCATCGCTACTGAGCTTCTTTCTTTCGGCCCCAAAACACTGTGTTCCCACATACAGAGCACTCTGAGAGCTTCATTTTAAAGGGTGGGCACCCATGTGTCCATTTCTATGCGTGATTGCGTACAGATACCTCTTTGACACACAAATTCACATCATGCTTTACAGCACATTGCCATATGCAGTACCTCTGGCATTGTCCTCTCAATGACAGATCTATTTCTATAAGTAGCTCAATAGGAGCATTCAGAGCCTCCGCGCCCAGCACAATGGCAGGCACGGTTCACCATGGCGAGTGGCGAGAGGCAGCAATGTTTGTTACATTTTGCCATTGGCGCTGAAAGATTTCAGTACAATAGCTATAACGACAGCCCATTGCAGGGAGGACAGGGATGCAGCGAATGCATTTCATGTGGCATGTAATCATCTCAGCCAAAGAGCTGGAGAGTTTATCAGCATCACAGGGAATTTAATATCTAGTGAAGGGTCCTGAGTTCTCCTCCCCGACTCCCCCCCACCATTATTACTTTTCAACAGAAAGCAACAATTATTTCTTGCTCACCTGGTTCGCAGCTTTCGGATATGCTACACTTCTCTGACCTGTAGAGGAGAAGCAGACAAGAGACATGGTATGTTTGTACAAAGGGAAGCTTGAATCTTTTGTGCTTACTTACAGTGAAGCAAATAGGCATAGGAGGTGCAATCAGTATCTCCTTCAACAATTTATCTGTGTAAGTAATGTATAAGGGATATCAGACTGAAAAGTCTGGAGCTGTGGCATCCACATGCTTTAGTTAAGCCAGTAGCAGCCCTCAGGTTTTGTGCCATGACTAGCAATTTAATTGCTGCCAATTCCTTTTTTTTTTAAGCTTATACAGCCCATCAGAATATTAGATCTCTACAATACACTTGTATCAGGAACTGAGAGAACTGCTCTATGAGGCCGCAGTGGAGCGTGGCATTGAAGTTGTCTTCTTGCCAAAGCGACTTTTAACTTAGCAAGGTAAACCTCACGTTGTATCAGTGCAGCAAATCTGCAGTAGACGTTTGCGCTGGAGCATCTACACCAGTGCTGCTACTGCAGAGAAAGCATTTGAAAAATGCAGGGATATCTTAAATCAAGCTCAGTTTTTCTCCTTTAATGGTGCTATTTCATGCCTAAAGTCCTGAGAAGAGTGAGCGTTCCTTGTCCTGGATGTGCGAAGCCCTGCAAACATTTCCAGTGCTGTCTAAGTACAATAAATCTTTTAACCAATGACCTATGGGAAGCTAATATGAAGGACGTGTTGGTGTTTTGAGTAATCAAATGCTCGGGGCCTGCTTCTCAACAGTCACACCAGTACGAACAGGGTTAAAGTCCATAGAACAACAGGGCAACATTGGTGGAAAGGAGGAAGAAAATCTCCTTGTCTATCTATCTTTCTATCAATAGACAGATAGATAGTGCCCATCTTTAAGAAAGGGAAGAAGGAAGATCTGGGGAATTACAGACCGGTCAACCTCACTTAGGTCCCTGGAAAGGTCATAAAGCAGGTCCTCAAGGACTCCACTTTTAAGCACTTGGAGAAGAAGGTGATTAGGAGCAGTCAGCATGGATTCACCAAGGGCAAGTCATACCTGATCAACCTGATTGCCTTCTATGACAAGGTGACTGGCTTTGTGGATGCGGGGAGAGCAATGGATGCGATATATCTTGACTCTAGCAAGGCTTTTGATACGGTCTGCTGCAATATTCTTGCAAGCAAGCTAAAGAAGTATGGGTTGGACAAACGGACTGCAAGGTGGACAGAAAACTGGCTGTCAGGCTCAAAAGGTAGTAATCAATGGCTTGATGTCTAGTTGGCAGCAGGTATCAAGTGGAGTGCTCCAGGGGCTGGTTTTGCTCAATATCTTCATCAACAACCTGGAAGATGGGATGGAGTGCACCCTCAGCAAGTTTGCAGATGACAGCAAACCTGGCGGGGGGGAGGAGTAATAGATAAGCTGGAGGGTAGGGTTAGGATTCAGAGAAACCTCAACAAGTTGGAGAACTGGACCACAAGTTATTTCACGAGGTTCAATAAGGCCAAATGCAAAGTCCTGCACTTGGGGCAGAACAATCCCATGCACCACTACAGGCTGGGGACCAACTGGCAAAGCAGCAGCTCTGCAGAAAAGGACTTGGGGGTTACAGGGGACAACAAACTGAATATAAGCCAACTGCATGCCCTTGTTGCAAACAAGGCTAATGGTATACTGGACTGCATTAGTAGGAGTGTTGCCAGCAGAGGGAAGTGATTATTCCCCTCTCTTCAGCACTGGTGAGGTCACTGATGAGACAGAGGGGATTTAGTAACAGCCTTCAACTACCAGAAGGGTGGTTCCAAGGACGATGGAGCTAGACTGTTCTCAGTCAGTCAGTGCGTCCATCATTGCCAAGCCACACACAGCGTGTCCATAATTGCCAAGCCTCAATGGCCACGTGCAGTTCCTGTAGTCCTCCGCTGAACTTTGTCAGCAAGCACACATCAACCATATGCAACATGGTGTGTGTTTTGCCACAGCTACAGCCTGGATTGTTGTGAAAACCTCAGTTGAGGAGGTTGGCCGCACACTGACCTTGCCCTGTCCAGAACCAGCTCAGCAAACCCCACTGACGGTGTGGCAGGTTGAAGCCAGGTGGGCAGACTGTCGGATCTGTGATAAGGAACTCATTTGATGATAATGCTGACCTCCATTAACTTGTTTAGTGGTAATGTTGACCGTTCTCAGTGGTGGCAGATGACAAAACAAGGGGCAATGGTCTCAAGCTGCAGCAAGGGAAGTTTAGGTTGGACATTACGAAAAACTCTTACTAGGAGAATAGTAAAACACTGGAACAGGTTACCCAGAGAGGTGGTGGAATCTCCATCCTTGGAAGTTTTTAAGACCCACCTAGACAAAGCCTTGGCTGGGGTGATCTAGTTGGGGATGGTCCTGCTTTGAGCAGGACGTTGGACTAGGTGACCTCCTGAGGTCCCGTCCAACCCTAATTTTTTATGATTCTGTGTTCAAACAACTGATGGTGTGAAATCCTGCAGGGCTCAGCTCCTCACAAGAGGTGGCTCATAATGTATCAACCTGGTTCCTTTTGCAGCTAAAGCAAATACAGAGATGGTGGGGGGGAAAATCAACTGAGCTGGTAAATGTTTGTTCTACTCAAAACTTTCCTCTCTGCATACTGGGCTCTACCCCAGTTTTGCATCCACTGTCAACTCAGCATATTTGGAAAGCTGTGGGAACTAGAACACCTTCCCTACCCAGATTTCGGAGCTCTCTCCCTCTCATAAGGAACACTTACTGCAAGTAAAATGTAGACCAGTGCAAATCACTGCACCTTGCCCATAAAGAAGGCCAAGAAACAGACCCGGAAAACTACAGCCCCCAAAGATCTGTCCTGAGAACAAGGAGTTGTAAAGAAGACAAGACTACAGCAGTCCTGCCCATTTGTTTACAGGCTTCAGAAGCATTCAGCATGAGACTAGATCTGTTCTCCCTCACTTCACAGCATCCTACTGCAAGGTTTCTGCTGCTTTTCTCTGAGACAGCCAACATACAGCCCAGTATCAGACAGGATTCTGAACCAGATGGCCCTGCCAGGGCTATTTCTATGCCCCTAACAGAGAGGAAGTCTCTGCATTTAGAAGAAAACACCACAAACTGATCTGATTTCTTTTTTCAAACATGCATTCTTTCTTCCTCAATATATGTCGCCAAATTAACTGGAAATTGGATAGATAACGAGAGAGAGAGATTAAGTTAAATTTGGTATCTCCAGTGGAATTCAGGATTTCCTATACCATATGCTAAAATAACATTCTAATTTTCATAGCATGCGACTTCTACATACATGGCCTGGTTTTTTTTCTCACTCACAGCAGGATAAGTCAGGAGTAACACAAGTGAAGTTATCGAGCCAATTAATTACACCCCTGCCCATCGGAAGCGACCCAATGACTTTGCTGGGCTTATCCTAGATTTATACCAGTGTAACCGAGAGCCGATCTGGTTCAAGGGATTTATGCGGGGGGAAAAATCAAGGGAAGGAGGTTCAGAATCTGGGCTGGTACAAAGTGCATGATGATTATGCTGCACTATGAACAGACTGAAAGCTCAAGACCCCAATCCGGTTAGAATCCTTCACAGGCATTAAATGAACTTCCTGCAATGCCGGACTCTGCCCCAGAAAAACCCTCTTTTGCCTAGGATTTTGTAAAGCTGTTTTACCATAACATGCAAATCCTGACTGACTCACTGCTGGAAACAGTCAAGAGTACAGTACGGATGAAGGTGAAGACAATTAAATATTAGCAAGTGTTCTCCATGGACAGTAAGCCTCCAGATTTGATAGTACATTGAGAATGGCAAATACCAGACCTCTCACTGAGTTTGATACTCCTGCACGCACTCGGTGGCAGATTTTCGTCACTTAGCAAATTCGTGGTGTATCCCTATCATTTGGCCTTTCTGCCTGCCTGCTTGTATTAGCATTGATTTAATGCCATTCTGGGCTGGTTAGTTGTTTTTTTTGAGGAGGGGCGGTTAGAGAAAGAAAAGAAAATATATTAATTGTAGGAAGTAAGTAATTCCAAACAGAACCCAATGGTTAATTAAAAATGAGAACTATAAGACCTGGTTGCCCAGAGGCTGAACATTTCTTTTTCAAGTCAACAAGAGCAGAGGATAGTCAATGCCTTTAGAAAACCAGCCTCTAGACATCAAGGCTGCCTATACGTGTGCTTGGGGATGGGGGGGCACCCATTTTAAGTAGAGCAGTTTCTGGACAGCCACTCTATTTAAAACAGCTCGCCATCGTGTGCATTAAGTCCCCATGCATTTCAAAGAGGCCATGGGACACAATCTAAAGTTCATTCGATGAGGCTTAAAGCACCCCCATGGCCATTTTGAAACGCGCAGGGACTTTATACACAGCAGGCGACACTGAAGCGTTCTAACTGGAATATGGACACAGTCCGTTTAGCGTGCATACTAAACAGACCGCGAACGAGCATGTCTATAGGCACCCCAAAGGTCTGATCAAGTATCCACTGCCCTCTGTAGCTGGTTGATTAATTGATGGATAGCTTCATGGTTTAAGCCATTGCTTGGGACTCTGGAGTCCAAATTTCAATTCCTGATCCCTCCCAGAATCTCTGGGAATTTTACATGTGCTCTGGGGGTGGGGCAGTGGACTTTAATTACAGTGGCGCTAAGAGCCACTCTAATTAAAGTGCCGCAGTGTCTCATGTATCAGCATCCCTGCGCTTCAAAATGGCGCCAGGGGCACTTTAACTAGGACTCATCAAACAAGCTTTAACTAAAGTGCCCCTGCCTCCATTTTGAAGCATGAGGACACTCATCCATGAGATGCGGAGCCTGGGTGGAGCGCGCTAATTAGCACCCCAGCAGACTCGATTATTCAAGCCTGCTCTGAGGCGCTGTAACTACAGCGCCTCAGAGCAGCCTCCTGGCATGTCTACAGACACCCTCTGCATGACCTTCCTCAACTGTGCCTCAGTTCCCCATCTGTAAAATGGGGACAGTAGCACTGTCCTACTTCCCAGGTGTGCTGTGAAGACAATTACACTAATTGGTTTAGGCACTGTGGTGAGGAAAGCCACATAAATGCCCACCTATCTACTCTCACCAGGTTTAACAGACTGGGATCAAGTCCTGAGCTCCAGTCTTCTGTTATAAAGTCATTTAGAGAAGACTGAGTGTACTCAAGTTGACAACTGAACTTTCCAGTTTATATAGTAGATCAACATTTCAAGAACTTCTTTGGATAGGTTACTAATGCACAGAACAAGGGCCTGCTAAATGGCAGTGAGGTCTTTCCATTAGTTTTGATGCAGGTTGGATCAAGCCCTGCATATATGTAATTAAAAAACGGATTCACAATATTTGCAATTCAAGCAATGTAAGTTTTCCTTTAGTCCAACATACACATACATATATATTGTACAAAGCAGTACAGCAATTGGTATACTAATACCGCATTTGAAATAACATGCCTAGCTGCGATTGGGCATTTAAATGCAACTTTGAGGCCTATTTCAGCAGAACTCTCAAGCACAGATTGAGCCCCTTTACCACACAGGTACAGCACTGTTCCTATGCTTCAAGGTACTTTGCTTGAAGCTGCTTTGCTCTGCAAAATCCCTGCCAAAGCACGATATCACAGTGGTGCATGCTGCTGCTTGTCACCTGCCAACGCTACTCTGGCATAGCCACCGGTGAGACGGGACGCCTCTGGAAGTTCTCAAACCTGAGCAAAGACTTAATACAGTCTTCAAAAACCGTGATAACTGCTTCTTGCTTCAGAGACCCTTGCTTAAGTTTCCTGCCCGACTGACTACAGCAGGATTCATCCCACGATGCTAAGTCAAATGGCAGCATAGAGCACAATTCATATTCTGCTCTAAGTCCGTTTGACTCCCCGATGTTGCAACGGAGTCAGTACCATCAAACAAATCTCCGCCTTGTCTTCTACTCCAAAGAGTACTGGGAATGTGACTGTCGGGTGTTAAGAGTTCTAGATCAATACAGTCTTTGTGCCAAAATACTCTTGGAGATATTTCAGCATGTGACAGCAGGCTCCGGACAAAGACAAACTAACTGAAGAGCCATGTTTATGGTCACATGCTGTACATATTACTTACTTCCTGTTAGACCTAAACTCAAATGCTGCCTTCACTAAATCAACACAGTTTACCCACTTGTAGGGAAGTAAGGCTTTGTTGGCATGTGGCAGCCACTATCTTGGCTGACAAATCAGGAGCAGAACAGCCCTCCAAAGCTAGTATCACAAGCTAGTGCAATCTGAATGCAACTTCCTACGTGGGGCTGTCGCTGTCACACACTCCTCTTCCTTATGAACCAAGCACAGAAAGGAACCTGAAACATTCACTTCTGCCTGCGCTGCGCAGCTAACTTATGTGGAGTTGAGAAAAACATTTATCTGGTATGGTTTAAGATGGGGGTGATCCTGCCTAGAGCAGAGAGGAAGGACTAGATAACGTCCTCAAGTCCTTTCCAGCCCTATTTTAATCTGATTCTATGAATGGGGCCTTCACCTGAAAGTTTGGCTTAACATTATTCACTCCTGAGTCCTCACTGCAAAGCCCTACCAAGCAAGGTTGCTGTGTCCTTACTGTTTCTGCCCTCACCTGTGGGTGTCTGGAGCTATACCCCATGGTTCTTTGGGTTGTAATGCTGTAGGATCCTTCTCTCAGTCAATTGTGTTACTTATGGGAGAACTTGACCGTGATGTCATGGGAATGGATGTTTAACACTCAAATACTTAGCTTGCAGGAACACTGCAAAGCTGGGAGAGTGGAGGTGGGGATACAGCTCGAGTCAAGGAAGAACTTGTGCTTGGAAAATCCAGCTAGGTAACTGCTGGTTAAAGGACCTCCAATACTAAGTCAGAAGTTATTCTGTGCAGGTGGGAGGAAGATTAATGCTAAAACCTATATAAGAGATCAAATTCACTGTAGACGCATTTATACACCACACAGTGGAATATGCACAGGCACACTTGCACTGGCTTAGTAGCTTATACAGGGTGATACTCAACCAATTTAAAACCTGGCTTAGACTGGTGTAAACTGAAATAAGAACGTGCATCATGCCTTCTGGAACAGTGTATCAAAGCAGGATTTCAAATGTGGTCCAAGTCTGCATGCTGCCAAATCCAAAGTAACTAGACAAGCAGCACACGCACTGTATCAGACTATCATGATTACATCCTGTGGCCACAATACACGTGGCCCTGTCCATGCACATAAGTGGTCACCATCTGTAAAGGCCTTTCCCCTGCAGGGTTTCATATTCCAACACAACATTCAAGATAATGTTGAAAACAATACCAAGCCTACCCAGACATTTCAAACTAGATCACTGGCCTCAATACAGCCACACAAGGGAGCACGGTTCACTCCACCTCTGGGCAGGTCACATCAGAGCTGCCTAAATCAGAGCCCTATGGCACCATGGGAGTTTTGCCATTAGCTTCAGCAGGGCCAGGATTTCATTTTGGATGTTCACCTGTGAGAAAAGGCAGAGCCACAGCTCTGCCTTACTAGGTGTCAGCTAGTGGAGCTACTTCGACACGTGGGAGGCAGTGAGTACCCTTAGAAAGGGGAGCTATCAAGTGCTGTGGGAGGAACTCTGTTCCTCCAGGGGTACCACGCATCACCCACGGTGCTGCCCTTTGCTTAGAGCTGTCGTTCCATACTGCTATTAGCTTGTGCCACCAAGAGCAGCAAGGTGGCTTTCCAGTCCACTGAACGTCTGTACTCTCATACATCACAAGGTCTCACTTCTTATCAAAAGTACATTTACAAGTAACTTATAAAGGGTTAATAGGTGAGCATGTATTAGGCATCAGAGTAGGCATCAGAAGCACGTGACAGATGGTTCTCTACACATCAGTAGTAGGTGCTAGAGACAGGCATAAATAACTATTCCACTTGCTGGATACTATAATAATTAACCCAGGGGTGGCCAACCTGCGGCATGTGTGCCACAAGTGGCACGGGCAGCCTCTGTGTGTGGCACGTAGCAGATCAAGGATAGGGCAGGAGACAGTAGCAGATAGGGCAGGCAGCAGAAAGCAGAGTGGGTAAGGGGCAGGGGGCACAGGAATAGGAAGCAGAGCAACAGATTGCAAAGGGAAGCGGGATTTGAGTGGCACTAGGGAAGGGTGCAGCACTAATTTGTAGTACACCTGCCAAAACAGTTGCTTCCCATTGTATTAACCTGTTATTAATCCCCTATAAACTATTTATAAACCCATTTTTAAACGTACCCCGTTTGCCATGCTGGCTGATGGTGTATCATTATGCTTTACATATAATTTAGGCAGGTAACGTTGTCCTAATGTGCTTGCACATGTCGGCAATCTGATCCTTTTTGTTCAAAAACAATGATTTTAAACATTTGGGGGGGGATCTGGCATAAACTCACATGTATTGGGACAGCCTATTTTCTTCAGTGGTTTGCTAGCTGTGACAAAGGAGTACATGCTATCAAAAGGTGAAAAATGAGCCACTTGATCTTCATTACTGTGCTAAAACAAAGCACCTACAGTGGCCGGCCTTTTCACCATGTTATCTGCTCCAGCATTCTGTCCTTTCTATTTTGCTTCCTCAGTCATGTGCTCTTCTGATTTCACATGGTTGCCAACAAGGGATTTCAGAGGACGAGCCAACACATTCCAGGATGACCAAAAAGTGTTGCATGAACTTTGTCTTTGTAAAGGATCTTTCCAGTGACTTTGAGAAATGGTACTGGCTAGGTGCCACTAGTGCACTCACTACTGTGTACGCCATTAAAGACCATACAGTCCCTGCCCTGAGGAGTTTGCAATAAACAGCCAGCCAGCCAAACCTGGACGCACCAAACAGAGCATTTTTTCTTTGCCTTGCACACAAATACACAGGAGAGTTCAGTTTAATTAAGCATGAACCATGAACATATTTTACTTTTTTGGTTTTATTCCCCCGCCCCCACACGCGTTTTTCAGCACTCTACTATAAACAGGCATCAACCAGCAACTGCCTTCCTATCCCTTCATATTAAGTGACTGGAATGAGGGCTCCAGAATTATCAGGCATGATTTCTCTTTCATGGCTTTGCTGGCATCAGGTTAAAAAATTATATACAGTGGAATTGGGAAAGATCTAGTCCCCCAAGTGCACTGAGTTTGAAACCAAAGTGAGACCAAGTATAGTCCAGAGAGGCAATTCAGTGCTCGGACAGAGGCAAACTGTCACATTCACGGCAAGCAGCAACTTGTCTCTTCAGTGGACTGCAGTGAGACTGCTCACAGAACAAGCGTATCGCAATCTACCCATCAGAGATCATGGAGAAAACTGCCGAGGTGGAGATGAGAGCCATTTACCTGTTGTTAGCCTGCGAAGTCCCTGCCAGGTCCAGAATGGCCATTCGGTGTGGTTCTGGAGAGATTTCCCCGGATGGACTGGACGGCTCCAGCTTGGTTGGATCTTTGGTAAATTTACTTCCTGGTCCCAGTTCCACAGCAAGATTTTGTAATTAAAAGTAAAGCCAGAATTAACAATCAAAGCTCTCCTGCTGATCATACAGTTTGCTCACGGACGTGACCACCCTCTCCTGGATTTATAGCCAGCTACCAGCTTGTGAGGCATAAAGGGAAAGCTTAGAAATAAAGGCAGATTTTTTTAACAGCATTTTTTTCCACTTGCAAAGAGGGTGTTTTGCTCTTCCCAGGTGCTGCCTGTTACCTGGTTTGCCCACAAAACAAAAGGCCAATATTCTCTGGCTTAGCCCAAAGGAAACATCAGTGCAACCAAGAGGAGAATCCAGCCTAAGCGGTTCTGTTTAGTAATCGCCTTCTCCCAGTTTCAGGAATCCTTAACCAAACCTTGTAAGCGCTGGGCATGCTTGGGTTCAGGACACACTTCTTTGTACGAGGATGCGCAGTTCAGTGTAACGTCACTGCGGGAACCGTCCCAAAGCAGGGGAAGTTTTGTCACAAGGGAGGTGGTAACGAAGTAGGTTTGGGGGGCATATGGCACAGTGGGAGGTTTCTCTACAGTTTGGCAAATGGGGTTATGTTGACATGAAGCTGTCTCTGCTACCAGAAAAGCTGGAGGCAGACAGCAGCCATAGGACATGCACACCCACGTGCTTCTGGACAAACTGCAATCTGGGAGGGCATCTTTGGTTAAACAAACCACAGCCTCCACCTGAAGGTATAGGAGTGTCGACACGCATCTTTTGCCAGCTGCTGGGCAGTGGCAGAAGCCCCACACTATTTGGCAGCAGTGCCGTAACCGAGATAACGGAGAGTTTTGAGGCCACCGACCACTTGGAGCGTGAAGTTCTGCCAACAATGTTTTGCTGTTGAGACTACAGAAAGGTTAAATGACAGGAGGCTGGAGAAGTCTTGGTCACCGAAGGCAAGAGACTATGCCCAAGGTGGCCAACATTCACACATGCCTCAGCAAATAATTTTCCTCTAACAGGCCCTTATGTTGTCTCTGGTGCCCCATCTCTGCTCTATGACCTCACCACGGTTCTCTAAGGCACCCAAGTCAGGTACCTTAAGGCTGAATTTGGTGCCTACTGTACTCTGGATTTTGCACCATGATCCCTCACTGGTGAATAGTTTTATATCATAGTTCTGCAAGCTTCAGGAACTCCAAATCCCTGAGCGCTAGGTTAGGGTTTGGGAAGTGGCCCAGACCCCGCTGCACGAGACAATGTCACATGGTTGAGCCCATGGAGGACCTCTGCCCCATGCAGAAGAATTGGGTAGTTTGGGTCGGGTGGCAACACCCAGGGCAACCACCAACCACATAAATTTACACAGAGGACACTGGCATCCTAGGAGCAGTTATTTTGCTACCACTGCTCAAGCAGATGCTGCGCTACGCTCCACAAACAAGTGCAACCTTTTTGAGTCTGTACATAGTTAAGGAAAAAGGACGAAGCCCCAGCACAAGAGTCTCGTGTGTGAGAGAGAAGGGTCCTGGCAAGCTGAATGAATTACATAAGAGGTGGAGAAAAATAAGGGTTTAGTCACCTTGAAAACCTTCTCCTTTCACTTCCCTGCTCCTCAGCAACCGGAGACCAGCTGTAATGAAGCCTCAACAAATGATCTCGGCTAGGATAAGAGTGAGCTGAAAACAGCCCAGGAAATGAAAAACAGGTGCTAGAGAGTGCAGGTGACTATACAGCTGAAAGGTTAGTGCTGGGGGGGAAGCTGGGAGTGGAATTATTTTGCCAAGCTGCACGAACCACGCAGGTGTCTTGTGAATATCTGTAGCAGGCACCTGACCAGTCCTGAAGGCAAATGGCAGCACCTTCTCCCCCCAACCCCTTTGGAAGCATATGAAGTTATGGGACTACATAGTCAAAAAGGGCAGTACTTTGCAGTGCAAACACCAAGCAGACATCAGTGGTCAAGAGCTGAAATCATGAGAAGCCATGATTTCACAGGGATGGGAGCTCATGATGTGTGGTTGCTCCTTAAGGAAGCAATCCTAGAAGCACAAGGGGAGTCCATCCCAACCCGTAGGAAAGGTGGTAAAAGGGTTTGACAACCTCCTCGGCTCAGCAGGGAACTCATGGACCTCCTACGTCTAAAAAGAGAGGCTTATAAAGGATGGAAGACAGGAAACGCCACTAAGGAGGAGTATACTGCTGCAGCAAGCAAACTAGGAAAGCCAAGGCTGCAACTGAACTCCAACTGGCTACACAAATCAAGGACAATAAAAAGTCCTTCTTCAGATATGTGGGGAGTCAAAAGAAAAACAAGGGCAACGTTGGACCCCTGCTAAACCATCTGGGGCAGCTGACTACAGACACCCAGGAAAAAGCCAATCTCCTTAACGATTACTTTACGTCGCTTTTTCACCAGCCCAAAGGGTCCACCCTGCCTAACACAATGCGGGATGACCAGGGTGAGGGTGAATATATACCCACCATGGGCGTGGATCTTGTGAGGGCGCATCTTGAGCGGCTGGACCCCCACAAATCAAGTGGTCCACATAAGATTGCACCCAAGAATGCTAAAGGAACTGGCAGACATCATAGCACAGCCACTGGCAAGGGTATTTGAGAATTTGTGGTGCTTGGGCAAAGTACCTGAAGATCGAAAGAGGGCCAATGTGGTGCCCGTCTTCAAGAAAGGGAAGAATGAAACCCAGGAAACTACAGGTCAATCAGTTTGACCTCAATCCCTGGGATGATTTTGGAAAAAATTATGGAAGAAACCATTCTTGGCAGGCTAACAGAAGGCAACATTCTCAGGGATAGCCAGCACGGGTTTGTTGCAGGTAGGTCTTGCCTGACCAACCTCATTTCCTTTTATGACTAGGGAAGAGGTTGATATAATATATTTGGACTTTAAAAAAGCCTTTGACCTGGTGTCCCACGATGTCCTCATGGCAAAATTGGGCAACTGCGGCCTCGACTACTCCACAGTCCGATGGCTGGGGACCTGGCTCCAACGTTGGACCCAGAGAGGGGTAGCTGACGGAACCGTATCAACATGGCACTCGGTGACTAGTGGCGTCCCCCAAGGCTCTGTTCACAGACCTGTACTCTTCAATGTCTTCCTTCATAAACGTCCTGGACACTGGCGTCAGAAGCAGACTGGCTAAGTTTGCTGACGACACCAAACTTTGGGAAAGAGTGTCCACACTTGAGGATAGGCTGGTGATCCAGGCCGACCTTGATAGGCTTGCAAGGCCGGCAGATGAAAACCTGATGGCAGTCAATATGGAGAAATGCAAACTGCTCCATCTTGGGGGGGCGGGAAAAACCATGCATCACACTTATAGCAAGTGTAGCACTGCTGAGCCTAACACTGTGACCAAAAGAGACTTGAGGGTCACGATTGACCACAAGATGAACATGAGCCACCAATGAGATACTGCAGCTGGCAAAGCAAATAACACTCTGACTCATCTCAAGCAAGACCCAGGATGTCATTCTCCCGCTGTACTCAGCCTTGGTGAGGCCACAGCTGGAGTACTGCATCCAATTTTGGGCTCCACAATTTAAGAAGGACACAGAGAAGCTTGACAGAGTCCAGAGGAGAGCCACGCACATGATCAGAGGGCAAGAGAACAGGTCGTATAAACAGGCTCCGATATATGGGACTTTTTAGCCTGGAAAAGCGCAGGCTCAGGGGTGACTTTGTGGCAACCTATAAGTACATAAGGGGGGTGGCACCAGGATCTGCGGGAAAGTCTGTTCACCAGAGCACCCCAGGGGATGACAAGGTCTGACGGGCACAAACTCCTCCAAGACCGTTTGAGGCTGGACATAAGGAAGAACTTCTTTACTGTCCGAGTCCCCAAGGCCTGAAATAGACTCCCCCCCAGAGGTGCAAGCACCTACTCTGGACACCTTTAAGAAACATTTGGATGCTCATCTTGCTGGGATCCTTTGACTCTAGCTGACTTCCTGCCCCTGGGGCAGGGAGCTGGACCCAGTGATTTCCTGAGGTCCCTTCCAGCCCTAATGTCTATGAAATCTTTGAAAGCTATCAAGACACGATGCATCTTCTGGCAGTTCTACTGACTCCCTGCAACTTACTTTTTCCATGGATCTAGCCTTGCCCTGGTTACAACAAAATTAGCTGTCAGGACCTGCCTAGCTGAGCAACAAAAGCAGGTTTCCTAGCAGCAGTGGGTTTTAGCCAGGTACTCTGCAGAAGGCAACTGAACATGCAATCCTCTCTGAAAGTGTCTTTGTAAAAATGATGCCTTCTTACTCAGCAGATCTGATGGTTCTTCATCTTCATATATGTGTTTTATGCTTTTTGCTCTTGTTAGCCCTTCCAGGGCCACACAGCGAAAAGCAAATGAGTTGAAATCTGTTCCAATCTTGTGTGGCAGCAATGGAATTATGTCTCAAGTGTCACGCAGCTACAGGTTTACAAACCCCAATGAATACCAACATCTAGTCCTCATCAGTGTGTCTCAATGCATTTTACTAAGGTGAGCTGCATCATTATACCCATTTTACACACAAGCAAACTGAGGCACAGTAATTTGACGAGTGTCACCCAGCCGGCCAGCTGCAGAGTCAGGAAGAGAACCTTGGTCTCTTGAGTCCCAACTCAGGGCCCTATCCATGAGGCCACAGATCTTATCCAGAACATAAGGGGATTGTACAGATGTCACTAAGAGCTCAATTTGGCCCGCAGAACCTTTAAAACCAGTGCTCACATGTGAATTGGAAGCAGCTGGCAGTTTGAATACATAGAGCCCAATGGATCAGGAATCACTGCCAGATGAAAAATTTAGGACCCCACAGTGCTATTTTTCCAGTCAGTTTTCAGATATGTATCAGTAAGTTAAGACAGATAAAAGCCACTGGAGTGATTTTATAGGTCTTTTCACTCTGTGTGAAGGGAGGTTCAGATCTTATCACCATATGCCTCATCTGGTTTGCTAAAAACTGCTTACAGTTGCATCTCTTCCTATCAGCGTGCAAGCAGTAAACATAAATAGTGGGACCAGAAGACAAAACCAGGAGGCTTTCCTTTCAGTCAAAAGGCAACATTTTTTTTTTTTGTCATTTTTATTTAAAACCAATAACCAGAGAAGTTAGCATTTTCCATCCAAAGGCAAGAAAATAATTCTCAGGGGGAACCCACCAGCAAATATATTTCCTTGTAAGAATGGAACAATAAATCATGTGGCCTCTACAAAGAGAAATTCACTTGGTGCCGAGGACCAGATTATGGTCTGCACAACAAGTGTTAGGCAAGCCATCAAAACATTACTTCACTGGTCAAAGCCCTTGTGCTGATAGCATGTAAAATTAATTTCACCCGCATGTGGATATCTACAGAAAAAGTTCTCTCTTGGTGAGAACAGCGACATATATCCTGCACTTCTGGCTGTATGCAGATGACACCATTTGAACTCAACTGCTCTGTATCACCTTCCAATCACAAATAATAAGTCAAACAATTTTAGTAACATACCTGTAAAAATCCTCTCATCAAACATCCTAGGAGAAAAAACAAACAAACAGATGCTTGTAGTGAATGAATTTGAGAATTTTTTGCAAACAATATGAAACTGAGTAAGAAAACTGTTATTGTTCATTCCTTTTCTTAAAAGCAAGCAGTTTCTTGTGCAAATCCAATACCTAACAGAATGTCTTTCGTCTAAAGCACCTTGACATCTGCTTGTAAGTCATTCTCTACATTTAATTCCTGTTGTTAGACAAAGTTGTTGCTGTGTAGCTTTAGCACAAGGCTACGAGGCTAAAGCGCTTCAAGATGGCTTTTAGTTCTGATAGTCAGTCTCCCGTCTTTCATCAAGGCAGAAATACTTGCAGTTTATAAATGTGCAGTTTTGGGCCACTGAAATGTCTCTCGAAAATTCAGCTTAAGGACAACTTCTAGACAATGTTGATTAAACTGAGTTTTGAGTAGGTATGGCTGGAAAACTTAATGACAGCCTATTCCTGCCACAAAACTGGGGGAAAAAATTCTGATAAAACAACATATTTTGGTATTTTTGTAATTATGTCTTTGGATTTTTCATTTTGCTCATTGAAGCTTTCTAATATAGTACAGAATACAACAAACAGGCATCAGTAAAAATGAACCAGTTCAACAGAAACCCCCCGTTCATTTATTTTTTAGAATTTTCCTTTGCAGAGGATTCAAAATCTTTCAGGTTTTGTTCCAATTCAAAACAAAGCTGGATTCTGAAATTTCAAAATCCTTCCTGAAGTAGAATGGCCCTCCTCAGCACAGCGTTGGTTATGCTGAGTAGGGTCTACGATAAAATGGGCCATCATAATCCACTACAGGATTCCTATTTCTATAGGAAAAGCACCATTATATTGAGTTTATCTGTTCTCTAATGGAATCACCGGAGGCCATGAGATTAATGAACTGCTGCATTGTGCATTAGGACAGGACTAGGAAAGCACTAAAACTGCTAAACTGTGGGCTCTTCCAGAGCTATCACCCCTCGCAGGGGTGCATCTTGCCTCACCGACATCCTCTTGTCCTACAAAACGAAGGTTTCCCAGGATGCAAGACGAGCAAGAACCATCTTGCCAAATTACTAAAAGGGAAAGTGGATCCGCTGACTTTGCATCTGGAAACTTAAGCGAGAGGAAGTAACCTAGAAATTCAGATCAGGGCCTTGTGTCTCACCTGCTCCGTTTTTGCAGTTCAAAGGGACTTTTCACCTGATACGCACTTTTGACCACACCTACACTATAAATGCCAAGTCATAAAAAAGTAACACTAGCGATACTGTGCATTTTGCCTGTGCTTGCAAAGACTGTGCTAAGGAAATAATTGTTTTGCCTCAAAAATTTTGCTTTTTCTGTTAGTGAAGGGAGCCGTCATGCAGTAACAAACCAACAGCGCTGAGTGCAGGTGGAAATCATGACAAGGGTTTTCAGAAGAGCTCAAGAAGTACAAGTACTGTGAAGAACCTCCAAAAACGATGGCAATGAGGAGAAGACTGGTTAGGGGTACTAAGCAGGGACCCGGGAGTCTCTGCTCCATGACAGACTCCCTCCACGTGGTTTTGGGCAAGTCACTTAGAGTTTGCCTGCAGTGCCACCAAGCCAAACCTAGAAGAGCCACAGAGAAACATGCTCCCCACTGTGGGTGCCTTCAGATCCTGGAAGCAAGACAATGTAGTGACCTCAGAGCAGCTTGGAGCACATGCCCTGGAGCCAAGCTTCATCTGCCTCTGGGGTGCTTTGTGGTATGCTCCGTGCTGCTTTGCATCCTTTCTGGGTTGTGGCATGTGTGGAGTGGGAGAGAATAGGCGAGGCATGCTATGCAGCACTACTCCTGAGCTTGGCATCAAGTGCTGCAGGCAGACATTTAATTTCTCAGTTCTCCATCTGTGATACAGGGATAACGTTACTTCCATAGAGAGGGGGCTATCTGAACAGACAGATTAAATAGGAAACTTTGATCCCCCTGCTCAAGTGAGGGAGGATTGTCTACTACACACACAAAGAAAGGAAAGAATTGTTCTGCTTTCCCAACCTCATCCTATTCTAGCGCAAAAGGAGAAACCACTACATGTGGCTACCTGGCAAATATGGGCAGGGGGAGATTTAATTGTATATCTTCATATGCACCCATCTGGCATAATTTTAATTTGCCATCTGTCATTTTGACAGAACACTTAATAGTAGACAGATAAAAGGATTCTATTCACTTTTGAAATGTTTAGGGCCACAGCCACTGAGGCACTCGCAACAGGATCGCTGCGTTCGTGGCGTGGAAGCACAGAAGCGATCATCAACACTAAGCTAGTGGCATCGACAGGATTTTGTTTCAAAGATAACAAAAACCAAAAGGAAGGAAGGAAGACAGAGAGATGGAAAAAAACCCAGTGGTTTGGGGACATACACAAACCTACTCATCTACCTCCAAACCCAACACAATGCTTTATCTTAGCACACGATGGGTCAGACTGTAGGCCTAGCCATCACATTGTCTTTTAAGCTGAAATACAGCCCCACTAAAACGACAGTGGAAGATCTCTTTTGGCTTGTTACAGCTACCAATCCTACCCGTTGTCCAGGAGGACTCTTCTCTGCCTACTGTCTCCTTGGAGGTCACTCTTAAGGCATCGCAGCTTCAGACTTGGCTGAACCAAGTGTGGAAGTTTGATTGAAACAGAGGGCAAGAGAGCTCAACCAAGCGATCCACCATTTGCTGCAACTGATATGATGCTTTTAAATTCAAAGTCTAAATTTAGAATGCTTCTTGTGTGCACGCACACATACACACGCAGCAGTTGAGTGCAGTGTCACCCATTTCACTTCTTTAAAATCTATCCTTACATACCTTTTAATGACAAAGTGGATGTTGTGTCTTTCCTCCAGTATTCTTTTGAGTTTGGGGACACCGTAGGTACAGGGTCGTTTGAATGGTATTTTATCAGGGATCCCAATTATTTCTACTGCCTCTGGGTCACAGGCAATCTTCCGGTATGGCACAGGAACCATGTGGTCCAAACCTAAAGCTTCAGCTGAAAGGTTAACATATGGCTTTAACTGGCAAGTGGATGTATGTTTAAGGATGGCAAAGGGAGGGCAAAAAAGATGGAAACTGAGTAGCTTTACGGGCAGACGTTGGCTGTGCTATCATCCAACTTCTTCCCCAGATACTGAGCCCCCCCAGGAATACATGAAGGGCTCCCAACTTGCTCCCTTCTGATCACTGCCAAAAGTTACTCCTCAAGGGAGAGTTTAAAAGGAGAAACTGAGCAAATAAAATCTGAATTAAATTTAAACCTTGCCCCCCCACAGATTCAACTCAAATCAGGAGTCAGTTACTTTGCACCAGCAAGTAACTAGAACAAAATCCATGAGGTCTCCCAATGGACTAGATAGGGTCAGACGGACACCGCAACAACGTAATTCAAAAGAGGCACAACCAGTTATGCCTCGCACATACTTCAGAACATGTGATCCCCATCACAGATCATTTCATTTTGGAAGTTTCCTATCCAAATAATGACCAAGCTGAAGACCGCTTAGCTTGTCAGCTATGACAACCCGACAGCACAAGGTGGTGTAGCTGCCAACTACTTCTGACAACCATTGCCCTTACTAGAAAGGGCCAGTGAAAGCACACCTAACTCTTCACAAAATGAGCCCATTCAATCATCGTTTCCACTCAGGACCGATTTACTTTTCTTACAGGTGCTCATCTGGCTCCGACATGAAGGAAAAAAAACTGAAGCGACTATTAATGAAAAGAGTGGAATTTAAAACCACAAAGCAAAGACATTTATGACCTACCAGCATGTTTAAAAGCAGCTGGAATAATGGAGATCTATCGTTTTGTGCCACGTTAATTTTAACGTGGCTAGGCTGCGCTTTTCCCCCCTTGAAACTCTGGTGAAGACAAATAAGCCATAGTTCTAAGTGGAGACCTCGCGTGTAAAATTTCAGGATGGGGCTACTTTACACCTAGGTAATACATTCCTAGATACAGGGGATTTCAAATAGAAATACTGACATACCCTTAAATTGAAGCCATGAGCCCAAGAGCTGCCATGCTAGGAGTGTTAAAAAGAGAAGGGAGTTCTAGCATATGGCTTCTGCTGCTGTGTTAGGGAACAAAAATGATTGCTACATAATGATATGCAAACCACAAGTGCTGCAGATGCATAATGGAATTCTAACTCCTACTCACCATATCTACTGTTAAACAGAATTTGCACGCACTCCCTAAGGGTGTTGATATCTTCGGTTTCTTTTATAAAACTGTCCCATTTATCTATCAAAACAAAATATAAGAAATCAGGAACTTCCATATGGTGCATACACAGCAGATGCACTTTTCTCTTGCGAGGTGTTAAGAATCAAGAACAAGGCTGTGATGCCTTTGAAACAATTATTTCCCCTTTCTGAGCCACTTCTGCCAGCTCGTCTGATAAGGGCTAGGTTTCCCTCCTCCCCACTTGTGAGCAGCAGTGGGTGAAAAGGACTCCTAAGAAGTGACCCCTTTAACTGGATCGGCCCTGAAATGAAAGAACCCTTAGAACAGAACAAACCCGACTTTAAAGGACCTTTAAAATGCATTGGGAGTATAAAACCAAACCCACCTGTTTAAAAATCAAGGAGGCTTTTTAGAGTAAACACCTAAATCGTTTGGTTGTCTAATCCTCAGGGTAGATTTCTCCTCTGCATTTGTAAATCACTTAGTGCCCCAGGAACAGGACTACAAGAGGGAGCCACGGGGTGACTGTGTTTTTAATTATTACCGAAACATTTGGGGATTTTACGAAGTAGTTTCTGTTTGCAAATACAGGCAGGGCAGGAAGGACAATCAGCCATGGACCTTGGCAAATTACTTAATCGATGACATGCTGCCATTCCCTACTTATAAAACAGAAGTAATATTTTCTGACTTCACAAGCATTAATGCTGGGTGAGACATCTGGGCATAAGGGTGATGAGAGAAGGCTGAGGTAGTGGGTGATAGGGTGGTAGAGAGAGATAAAAGCCGTGGCTGTTCTGTTGAGCTATTGCACCAGCTCAGAGGAAATTCCCCCTTCTCATTCCTCTACAGAGCTGGCCCCATATGGCTTGCAGGTTGTCATGGGTGTGAAAAGAGTTCCAGCGGCTCACTGTGGAGGATGGGCCCTAGAGAAGCTGACAGGCTGACCATCAGCCATTGCCTGCCAAGTACTGCAAGAGCCATGCTGGGCAGTGGGGAAGGATAGTAGAAGTCACGGAGTGAAGCGACTGGCAGAAATCACTCCCCATCCTTTATCTTCCTTTTCCAAGTGTCCTCCCTCTCTGGGCCCAGCAAGCAGCATACCTGTTTTGTCGTGGACTATGGAGAAGAGGATACGCTTGGATGAATGCACGTTCTGGATGAGCGGCCCACCAGAGACTGATGATTTCTGTCCTGGACACAATGTAAAAGGAACAATAAGAGCCCAATCACAGAATACAAACAGGGGCAAGATTGCCCCAATGAGCTAAGAGGGGCAAACCTTGCCTACATTCCCAAGGGGCTAGACACAAGCTTGGGAAGCACAGGCTCTCCATTCGATGAGCACAGGACTTGTTCTGCAGTCTTAGGTAAGTCACTTAAAACTATTTTCAAGCCAGATCTCCCCCCGAGAGATGAAGAGGCTGAAGGAGCAAGCTGAAGGGACCAGTGTATGAGAACCTTTATGGTGGTGGCACTGAAGGTACCCATATAGTAGACTGGCTGCTGGTGCTAAGGCAGTCGTGCCTTCTGACACTGAACGCAGCCAGGCTGGACACTTGATAGTGGCTGAAAAGCCATTGGTGGCTTCTCTGCACTAGTGCTGCTGCTACTCTGAGACAAGTCCTGACAGTCACATCCACACCCTTTCTCTTCTGATCCACACAAAACACAAAGCCTTCTACCTCCCATACAAACCCCTTAATTCCGTCCCTGACCTCTCATAACCAGAGCCCCCGCCTCAGGCATGCGAGGCTTAGCATCAGTTATTTTAAAGGAAGGGAACATATGCTCTTCATTAACACTGTCTAGTATGCACATATGCTGCTTTGCTTCCTTCGATGGCTGGAGCCAATGCCTTAAGAGATGGCATATCACTGGGACTCTTCCAGCCAGAAGCTACATTGCAAGGTGGTTTGTCCACCTCTTAATGCAGAAGATAAGTGGGCAGGCAGGAGAACACTGTCCAGTCTCCACTGCTCCAGGAAACAAGGCAGATGCCCAAATCCTGATTCTGATCCCTCTCCCAAGGTGCAGTGGACTGCCATTAGAAACCCAGACAGCTCCCATTGAAAGTATTTTGTGAGGATTCCTGAGGCAACCCTAATAACCTGACCAAAAGTCCTCTGAGATCAGAAGGAGGCTTTCTATCGGTATCAAAAACCTTTCATCCGGACCTCCAGGAAATGTAGAGTTGCTTTTTTCTCAGTTCTGCTTTCATGATCTACCCAATACTCTAGGTGCCATGACCAAATAGTCTGGCACCACCCAAAGGGTCTTCCTCTCCCAAGCTGAATGCGGTAATATCCCGCTGGCCAGCACAGGACAAGCCATGAGAAATGTGAAGTAACTGCACTAATCCTGTGGGATTTTGGCCATGAAGCAAAGCTGGCTCAAGTCTATGGGAGTTCCTTCCCCGACTTCTACGGGCTCTGTATCAGGCCCTCCTTTGAGAGCAAACGTAAGGCTATTACCACAGCAGTCGCTGTACTCCTGTGAGGAAGGCACCTTCAGATCTCCTGAGGGCCTGGGCATCAAAATCTCGGTGGTTGCATTCGCCCCGTGCAGACTGGAAGACACCTCCTGCTTTAGGTCCATGGTGATCTGCGTAGGCAGCGAGACACCATATAAGAAATTGGTCATGGCTACACTGGAGGGACAGTCTTGATTGGCTGGTTTAGTGATCTGGTTATTTAGACAGGAATCCCGACTGCCCTTGGATGCTAGGGAGGTACAATTCAACTCTACGTTAGGGTTCGGCTCTCTGCTGGATTCATCCGCTGGCCTGAATGGAAGAAAAAGAAAGAAGAGGAAAACACAGGTTCTTTCAGGTCCTTCACACGGCATCTGACACAGGTACTGCACACCACGAAGCACATATGGCAAATGTCAGCTGCAAGAACCACATGCTCCCAGGTTGTGCCTGGGGTCTCAGTCTCATTGACACTTAAATCAAATTAGCATTTGTGCGGAGACAGGCTGTCTCTGCCCCTGCAACTGCGGGGAAAAGCAGCTTCAAACAGCACAGAGGAGTTTGCACCAGAGCTGGTCACGTTACGTGTCATAAAGGCCAGCACTGGGGAGAGCAAACTAAAAGGAAAAAGCAATGCTAAAGGGGAAAGGACAGTCTCCAATGCTACCATGTCAAGGGAATCTGGGTGGGTGGAAGGTACAATCCTTTATGAACAACAATGGCTGGACTGGCAGCTTCTGTGCTTACCATTTCAAGCTCTACTGCAGATATCAAAGGAGGTGGAAAATTTCCCCAGTTTCTCCCTCTGGTAACTGCCCCAGCCTTCTTTTCTCTTTCTCCTTCAGCAAGAAGGGCTGGTCACTTCTTATGCTAAGCTTGATGAGCCAGATCATTAGTGGGTGCAAACTAGTCCAGCGCCACGGGCCAAAGTGTTTGAGAGAGGGGAAAAACCCCTAACTACAGAGCTCAGTGGTACCCGGGCAAAATTCACTGCTGTGAAAAGGACCACCTGAATCCACCTTTTGGCTTACATGGAACTCAAATCATTCGTAGGGTGTAGGAGGCTGCTCAGCCCAGGGGTGACACTATCACCAAAAAGCACACAGAAGTGGCCTTTTATTTTCTGTGCCTGAGACAACTCAGCCTGGTTTTCTTCTAGGTGCTGAACACTCAGAGAGAGCTTCACTTCACATCACATCAGAAGCTGAAGGCACCCAGAACTTGCTAGACCCAAGAACCAGGATGCCTGCTACCGAGCAGTGTCAAAACCTGAGGTGTCCAAAATCAGAGACCACTTTTGATGGAAATAATATGGAGGAGACCTACCCTCCATATCCCTCTGTTAGGCAAAACCCCTGGCTAATTCACACGTAAAATTCTCTTTCCAGTTGAGAAAAAAAAGTTCAGGTGTTTACACTGGAGAGCTCTGGCTGAGCGAGGGCAGTTTGCTCATCACAGATGCAATTCCGATGAAGTGACACGTAGAATAATGTGGTTAACCTTGCACATTTAGAAACACTTATTATGTATCATTCTGGTCTTCACTTTATAGTAAATAAACGAGGAAAGAATTCAAGCCCCCCAGACAGTGATAAATCTCTCCGCAACTTTGTGTGCCATGATTTAATGTGGCTGCACCTACATTTCAAGGTTCAGAAGAGAAGCCAGCGCTGGGAGCAACGCATCGTATTTAATGTGCATCTCAGACAAGGGGAAAACGGCAGTCCATGATTATTAGAGGAAGTATCGAACTGTTAATTAACTCATTCAGGGCAGTCTTTTATGTGGCTGTCAGAGAGCACCATAAAAGCAGACCAAGCCTGGTGTAATGAGACAAACTGCACCCTGTGCCGTAGCCTCACCCCTCTGAACGCTCCAGTTGCCAAACAAAGTTATCTGAGGGGTTGATCCCAGATCTTCAGTGGAAATCCCTCTCTGGACTTCAGTCAATGTGTGGATAAGGATGAAAACTCCCTACCCCATCTAGGAGTTTTGAAATTACCTTTTTAGCCTGAACCGGATGCTATGGCTGTGCTCTAAAATCGCCATCAGAGATTTCACATCGTACTCCGTCGGCTTTTTAAAGCTGATCCCCTCCGGCAAGCCAGCAACCAACAGCAATCCTGGCTCTTTTAGGAACTTCTCATATGGCAGGGGCACCACGCTGCTCTTCCCTATGGCTTCACCTGGGAAACAGGAAAAACACCACACTGCATAAATTCACTGGCATTTCCATGAGGAGGCTGCTAATCACTGCAGCTGATCAGGGCTTTAGCAGAGGAGAGGCAATACCAAAATGGACAGTGCAGACAGCAGCAGGAACTTATCAGGATAATTTCTCCTGCTCAAAATATTGTTATAACCAGGCTTTGCCATTATCTGTGGCAGCAACTGTTATTTAAAGATCTTCAAATACTTTGCCAACATCAATTAATAAAGTCTTGCAAAAGCCAAGAGAGGGGACACCTTTCTAGACCGATCCTGATCTGCTCTAACTTGGTGTAAATCCACCGACTCCAGTGGAATGATACAGACCAGACCCCTGCTGAGGTTCTGGCCCATGGTACCTTCTTCCGTATTAGAAGGGAGATAAGCATTTCTCAGGGGATGAAGAGTCTACATTGCTTTTAACTAAGTATTTATTAAAAAACAGTTGAGGTTTTGCTTTTCTGGCTCACTATTCACTCCCATTTCACCTGCTGGAAAAGCAAAGTATCTTCTTTGCCAACTGCTGTTTTGTGGCTTAAAGTAAGACTAAGCAAGCAAACAGCAGCACTTTCCATCCAGCAGCCCCCATGCATTTTACAACATTAACAAACAGAATATTAATGAACACAATACCCTGGTGAGGTGGGGGAATATCATTGGCCCAATTGACACACAGATCCAGAAAGTCTAATACACTTGTATGTTGGCAGCAGAAGGAGTAGGACCTGCACTGCCCAGTGCCTGGCCCTGCAAGAAGCACAGGACTATTTCTGCTTCTCATGTCAGCACCACAGTAAGAGAAAGGCTCCACATACCCCTGTACCTCTTGTAGCGATCCCTCAGCAGGGAGAAAACTTTTCTCTGTTTCTGGCAGCAGCAGAAGGGCATTGTCAAGAGAGACTCAGGTGCATTGGGTAACTTGGCCTAGATATTCAAAAAGGACTTGTGGTCTGGGGTTTCCAGCAGGAGGTACCTTAAAGAAGCCTGATGTTCAAGGGTACCTAACTCCACGTTCTGAGAATCAGGACCATTGAAAGCGTCTCACATTGGGCAGCCATATGAGAAAGCAGCCATAATCACTAGACAGATGCCTTCTAAAACATGGAATCCTCCTCTCCTGAAAAAAATTAAATTCTGAACCCTGGCAAAACTTCCGATACCAATAAACCAGGCACACCAAGCAGAAAGCAAGTGGTAGTGGAGGAATGTGAACTGTCTGGTGACTTGGCATCTAGATGCACATGCCAGTGCAGAACATCTGGCTTTAAAAGCCCAAGATTACATTCCTTCATCCTCATTCTTCACAGGATTTCAATGCCACTGTACTGCATTGCAGTGCAGGATGAGTTGAACTCCAATTATGGGATCTGCAATTAGTCAAGGGATTTTATGTTGTTTATTTTGCTTAAGTCATTTTTTACCTGCAACTGATTTTACAAAATCCTGGAAACCTCATGGCACTGTCAGTGAGTCCTTATTAAAAGTGATTTCGTCAACATCCAGCATTGCTTCAAAGAACCCAACTAATGATGTGCGACTTGCACCAGCCATCAGGGTTCCTAACAGCTGGGATGGATAACATTTTAATTAAGTCAATAACCAAAGTTTCAAAACAAACCTTTGAACCACAGCATTGCAAGTACACTTTCTGCTGGCTTGAAAGCTACTAATTGATTCCTTGACTCAAGGAATTGGCTTCAGCAGGTTTCCATTTTCCAATATAACCCTCCTCTCCCTTCCTAGAAGAAGGGATATGGGGAAGGGAGCTAATAATGTTTATAGCAACTGATTATCAGCAAGACGCTTGATGGTGCCTAGACAAGTTTTTTTTATGGGGAATGTGCTACCTTCAAAGTGACCTTCACCCAGCCTAGCAGAGCTGTGCACAGGCTGACAATTGAGCTAAGGAGAGACAATAATAATCATTAATGCCTGTTTAATAGAACCGTAAGGTAATCGCTCATTCTCTTGCAGTGGAGGACTCTAAAGGGAATTTGGGATCATTTTTGACCAAGCATTTTTTGAGATTCTTCCTCCTTACTGAAGGGAGATAACTTTGTCTAAAGGATTAAAGCAGAAAAAAGGTAATTGTTCATTTCAAACAGACTTATGGATATTGGAGGAAAAACCATGCCCCGCTCCCAACACACTTCATCCAGGCACAACTGGCCCTAATTAAGATGGAACTGGACTTTTCTTCCAGAGAAATTGTACCTTAGTTTTGGTGTGAAGAAAAGGACAAGACAGGTGAGTACCACTGAGGCACAGGCCAACCTCTGGATTGATTTTCAAACCCCCTGGGGTTCCCACTGAAATCAATGGGAGATGAAGCAGCCTAGCGGCAGTAGCAGAGAGCTCCATGAGGGTAAATTTACCTGCTGCAGTGGCTGGCTCAGAGATCCCTATGCTACCAGCGACAGCATGAGTGCAGGGACACTGAAGATCCCCAGTGTAGATCAGAACTACACTGGGTCAGGTGCTGTACAGCAACCTGGGAAAAAGAAGGTCTAAAAAGATAAAGCAAAAGATGTAAGAGGAAACAGAGGTGTCATGAGTGACTGGTGGGAGGAGTGGAAATTGAAAAACCAAAGACTGAGGAAAATGTTGAGATCTGAATCTGATTCAGTCGTTAAGTATAGGCCTTCAGTATTAGTGTATATGGGAGCCTGCTTTGCATCAGTACAGGAGTGCCAA